GGTTTCAGCCGTCTTTATTTCCGACTTTCATCAAATCATAATTACACAATGAAGTTAGCTACCGAGGCAAAGCAGGACTAGGGGCAGAAATTTCAGCCAAAATCTGTACTTCTTCCTATTGGCAAAATTAAGAGTTATATGAGTCATTCGGGTGTTAAGAAGGGTAATGGGAAGATGTCTAAAGTTACCAAAATCTACTGTTCAATATTTATTATCAATGACGGAGGATGATACTGACCGTATTTGTAAGGGACAAACAATGAAAAATAAGATAGGATATAGGTAAATAGAGGTTAATCCGTTGCAAACAAAAAACTTTTGAGATCAACGCAGACATGAGTTCTCTTTTGCTCACCACCGAACTGGAATAGCCCTCACTGCCTGGTTGGCTACCCAGACTGTAGCCAACGCGGACGTGACCCTGATACAAGTCAATCACGAGGTATCTGTCATTGTCCGGTCTAGCTCCACTATGCAGGGTAGCAACCGATGGAAGGCCTGGTGACATGGCGGCGACGACAGAGGGCCGGGTGACAGAGGTATCCGTAAGGTAGAGGATTACACCCTCGGGGTGACCAGTTGAGAGGAGCAGGGTGATATTGCCCTGGGGAACAAAGATGCCGGGGCTGAACGGCTTCACGGCCACATATGAGTGTTGGTTAGGTAAATGAACACTTGTTAGGTACTGGCAAAGGGAGCCCGTAAAACCTGAGTTTAAGCGATCAAGCGTCGGCGCATTGGCGATGCCATTCGAGGCAAGTTTGAATAAGGGCAAGGAAAGAGTATGTAGAAAAGAGAAGTTGAAGAAAATAAGTAAAAATGGTACACTTCAATTGTTAGATTTAGGCCATTTAATTTAAAGTGTATTATCATGTCATTTCACGCTTAAAATATCTCCACTCATTCGCCGCTGAATTAGAGCGTGCCTTCTTCTCGCAAATACTCAGCTTCGAATTGCCCAAAGTACTGAATATAACACGACTCAGAGAATAACAAAGTTGAACATGTGAGTCATCACTGCTTAAATAGTCAAGCTGACCAAATTTTTCTTGAAATATTCTCAGCAATTCTATTATTTTGTGCATCACATTTATCGACTTCGTAAACGGCAATAAATCGGTTTTCAACCATTTACTGCTCAAGGCGTGCTTTTTGATGTCATGCAAGGCCGGAAAGATCACATAGTTTTCGACCACTTTTACATGGAAAAAGTGAGACTCGTGCGTGCTTGTACGGCAAAACCCCTAAAATGTCAGTGCAGCTTTTAATTTCACATGTTTCCGCTAGCTTAGACAGACCATCTATATCAAAGTGATAGGGGTAGAAAATAAATTTGATGGCCGACATTGAAGCTATATACCATTTTACAAGCACATTCAGTATACCCTGAAGTTCAACGCTCTTCTGAAGGTAAAGATATGAAGGCAGATCTTAGGTGATTGCTAATCAACACTCAGATAAATCGAGAGAAGCTCTACTAATCGACTGGATCAAAGTTAATCTTCTTTCCCATTCAGAGGTATTCCTCAGATTTGAGCCACGAAGTCAAATTTCGTAACAAAAAAAAGAATAAGATAAAGTGGGACCTCCGATCACGAGGCCCTAATCAAATTCCAATAAGAGCAGATTGCTATTAGTGGTAACTGTTATGCTCCAAGTTCTAATAGGTCTGTCATCCAGTGGACCAGAGAGGAAGAAGTAATATGCAAAATATACCACTCGATATTGATATTAACTTCTGCTCTATTAAATAAGTACTTCTGTTTACTAGCACTCTCTTAGGGACTCAAATATTCTACATATAACTTACATACACACGTACACATATACACACACTCAAGTAAAATTACCATGATCATTATGAATAGTCAAATAATTCTCCATCCTTTTATGTCTATACATTTTCGCTTTCAGTTATGAGTACATTTAAGAGGTACAATAGAGCCAAACAGTATTCTTTAGCTAGTTTTAACTTGAAACTTTTACAAGAAGGAGTTTCAGCTCTGAGACTATCCATCATATGATGCGCAAAAGCTCAGCCCCTACTCACCCGAAACAAGGGTGGATGTCTTATGGACTGCGTCAACCTGAACATCCCATTAAAGCTAAAGTTCTGCAGTACATTGGTAGTCGTCTTCTAGTGGGATAGACTTTAGAATCCCCTTTATATGCACTTTCATAAAAATCAAATTCTTCACAACATCTTGGAAACAAACAAAATGAAATAAGCTGTACATTGGGATAAATGGCAAATAGGCGTTGATTCT